CTTTAAACACAAGTCTAAATCCCAAACCTCAATTCCCCACCCCTAAACCCTTGGACTCCGAAACCCCTCCCAGCAGTGAGTTGCGCCTGGAGTGCAAAGGCTAAGGATCTAAGTCGGTCCTGTGCAACCGCTACCTCCGAAACGGGAGTGCCGGTGAGCCTTCAACCTGACTGATCGTTGGTGCACCTTGAGCCGAGTTCCAACAACAATCCCTTCCCCTAATTTTAAATGCGGCCTTACATAGGGATCTTATCGAGTTATGTAAGGAGAAACTACTACGTTTAGGGTTCAGGGTTTGGGATTTTATGGAGAATCAAATGGAAAAGAACGTGAGAAATCAAAAGGAACCTGGGGTCACGTGGGATTGTGTTGGGTGGCTACTGACAACGCAGGCGAAAGAAGTGGCTGTCACGCCAGTGATGACAACTAGCTGGTCATGCAAACCAAAGTCCTACTGTTGAAAGGCGGAATCCTGCATGCATGTACATTCTAGGATTTAGGGTTTAGGGTCAAGACTATCCAAGGGCCTCCAATGTAGTTTTTTTGGTAGTATATTGTACTGTCTTACCAAAAACCCTAACAAACCCAAAAGGAACTAAATAGAAGCCCTTGGATAAACCCTGTGAGTTATGGTGTTAGAACATACTCAGTTTCCTGTAGGGTTTTGTCCAGCAACCGTGTACCTTGAAGGCCCGTGGCACACTATCGGGGGTGGCTAGCGCACTTTCTCCATTTCGATCGCACACTGGATTTTCAATCCTTTTCCTATCCACGTAGCTGCACCGCCTACACCGCTGCCAATCATAACCCTAAACCCTAAACCCTAAACCCCAAAAGGCTCCAATGGGCTCATTGGCCGCAATAATCCCAAATAGGGGCTTGAGTTTGCGGGGGCTCCGTCAAGGGGGGCCCTTATCAACCCTAGGGTTTAGGGTTTAGGGTTATTATCCAACAGAGGGCATGATGACGATAGACCTTCTTCTTTAACGAGAGAGGATGTGGGTGTAACTTTGATGGCCTTTGCCTAAAGCCTAGACCCTACAGGCATATCTCTTCATGCTTTAGGTTTTATAATGGGCTTTTCAGAGACCGCGTTCTGTGGATTCCCCCAGCTATGAACCCTGGCCCTGCTGTCCGTATTGTGTTGCCCTACATGTTTGCAACCCCTGCACCAAAAAATGCAATGACGGGGGCGGGACAGCACTCAACCTGTTTTGGATGATCAACATGCGGGGCTTTCGGCAATTATCTTCGATCATCATCATGTATAAAACACAGGCAACCCTCAGCCCTAAACCCCGAACCCCGAACCCCAAACTCTCCTAAACGCTAAACCCTAATCCGTGTAGTACCGGCCTAAGAGTCTTCAGGCAGACCCACATGAGCAACACCTTAATCCAAACGCGTTGGTTTCCCCAGCTATTCACTTGAAGCCCGCGACCAGGGTTCAGGGTTGGGGTTTAAAGTTTCCAGGATTTTTGGGCTTCGGGTGCAGAGTGTAGAGCTTAGGGAACCATGTGCGAACTCAGAATCTGGGTTGCTGTTAAGGAACTTAAAGGTGCCCTAATATATGGGTATATAGGGTGAAGGGTTTTGGGATTAAGGTTTAGGGCTGAGGGTTTAAGTTACCGTGATATGGGTAGATAGTATGTGATAGAGCTTCTTAGTATGGTAGCTTCATTCAAGTTCCTTCGCAGCAACGCAGTAATGGAAGAAAAGAAGACAGCCAAACGCCTTCCTTGCTGTAGGAGACCCTGAACATGCAGGAGTGACTTGCAACTTCCACCAACCAATCATGACCCCTAAACCCTCAACCCTAAAAATCTTGAACCCTCAACCCTAAACCCTTAAACCCTAAAGCCTAAACCCTAAGCCCTAAACCTTAAGCCCTAAACCCTAAACCTTAAACCAATAAACCGGGCCACCCCCTTTGGACACTAACCCTCCCTGATGCAGAAGCTGTAATTAAATAGGACGTTTTGATAACTCCAACCCTCAAAGTCAGAACCATATAGTCCCCCCCTAAGTAGGTCGAATATGGGGTATACAGGGTATAGGGTTTAGGGTATAGGTCCCCCTTGAGTTGATAGGGGTTATATTGGGGTTATATTGGGATAATGGAGGAGAAAATGGAAACTACCATTTAGGGAGATAGAATATGGGGTATATGGGGACTTTTTTTATAATATGCCCAAAGCCATATTCTATCTACTTACTTTAAAGGGCACCATACGCCCATCACATGATGACCAGAGGGTCTTACTTTGAAGGGCTGGGGTTACCCAACGAAGCCTCATGAAAATGGAAGCGCATTTGCACAGAGTGGCCCTTTTTGCGCAGGTGCCTTTCAGCCAAAGGCGATGAATCGAAAATTTCCATTATCCTGATGTCTGCGCAAGCTTCGTTTGCTAAAATGTATACGCTGTTGTTGTATCATGCTTGATGCTCCTAGGCACGCGTTTTACACATGGATTTCTGCTGTGCAGTTGCCAGAAAATGTAAGCAATTATCCACCCAACTGCACATTATAATTACCAATGTCTGAGCAAGTAGCCGCTGGATTCCGACGGATTCTGTCTCTGCACAGTGCAGCCGTGAGTCTGCACAGGGAGCAATACTACAGACCCACCTGACTCCTACATGTATCTACACGCACATCTCAAAGCCTCGAACACACCAAAATTCTAAACGCACGCTCAGCCCAAAGTCGTTAAACTCCTCATGCTCGACACCCGTAGCTCTAGATCCGTATGATTCCGGTGCGCTGCATCAGTGGTGGCCGGCGCATCAAACCAGAGCTGCGGCGGAGTCCCACAAACCGCTGGCTTGCAAAACACTACTCGCATCATGCGTGGTTCCATGCCTCCTTCATGGTTATCATAGTAGTTGTACATACCTGCTTGCAGCACGGCAGCAGCAGTGGGAGTTGGTTGCGGTAGCGCAATGCTGCTGCTGCTCGGCGGCGGTGGCGGGGGCAGCGGGGCCGCGGTGGCGGCGGCTGCGGTGTTGGCGTTAGTGGCGGCGGCGGCGATGGCGGCGGCGGCGATAGCGGCGGCGGCAGTTGTGGGTGTGGTGTTGGCGGCGTCGGCGTCAGCGTCGGCGTCGGCGTTGGCGGCTGCAGCGGTGGGGCTGATGCTGGCGTTGCTGGTGGTGCAGCAGTGGCGGCGGTGGAGGCGGCAGTGGCGGTGACGGTGATGGTGGCTGCGGCAGCGGTGGTGGCGCGGGTGGGGGGTGGCGCCGGCGGCAGTGTGGTCATCATCATCATCATCATCATCGTCGTCATCATCATCATCATCATATTTTATTATCGCTCGTGTTTTTTTTTGTTGTTGTTGTTGTTGTCATTGCTGCTGCTGCTGCTGCTGCTGCTGCTGCCGCCGCGGTGGTACTGACTAGTCAGAAACAGTTTGGGATGCAAATCCTTTGATCTACTGAATGTACTGTTTATGCTTTACTACCAGTTTCAAAGGCTCGGGCTCTGGTTTGGTGGCCGTAGCCGAGAAAACTACGCGAGTAGCAGGGAACCTTCGGCGCAGAACAGCGCTTGCATTTTACTATGCGCGCGTCAACGCATCGAACCCCTAAACCCTGAATCTTCTGTTTTTGTCGAAGCTGCGATTTACGCCGCTAAGGCAAGCATGAGGGAAGCAAACCAAACTTCCCCAACCCTGAACCGTGCTGACCATACCCCCTGCAATAAAGGGACGTTGGTGACTTTAGGGGTTGATATACAAGGATATACTGGCTTAAGGGCCCATGATAAGAGGATCTTGGGAACGTCAATCAAAAAATGAGCTCTTGTCATATGACAGACGTAGGAATCTTTTTTCCGGGGTCGGGGGAAATCCGAATCCCCTTTTTCCCTAAACAGCATGGACATCAAGAAGTCCAGAGTCTACAGGCCTTAAGTTTCAGGATGTTTCAGGGTTTGGGATTTAGGGTTGGAAAGATCAGACTCAGGGTTGAAGGTCTCTCTAGCTCTAGCAGGGCACTGCGAAGGGTTCGTAAACATTATCTTGGGTTGCTGTTAAGGAACTTAAATTAAGTTACCATAATGGGTATATATAGTAAATAATAGGGTTTCCCCAATATAGTAACTTAATTTAAGTTCCTTAACTGCAACCCAGTTATCTTGGGGCCTCCTGTAGGAACTTGTACAAGGATCCTTTCCCTCATTCCCTAACTGATGTCAAGTCAGCTGAGAACACTTGAAAGCCCGAACCTACACCCTACGGTAACTACCCTATGACCACGATCTGACCACGACACAGTCCTAGTTTTGGGCTAGCCAAAACCTCTGATTGTACATGTGTCCTAATACAAGACAACATGCCCTTACGTTGGATACTAAACATCCTGCATGACCCTAAGTACCTCACACCTTGAGAATTGTGGTAGTGTAGTCTCACGGGTGGAAAGATGCGCAAAGCACTGAGTATCGCACAAAAAGGAAAGGTAAACACGGATCCTGGTCCGAAAGACAACGTTCAAAGATCCCAAATTCATCTTAGAATCTTAACCTACGAACTCTGAACCCGTCACATCTTAAAGAACCGAACAAGCCCTAAACTCTTAACGAAAGCTCAACCCCAAAGACGAAACCACCAAATTCAAAGCTCTATGGGCTTACAGACGGACCCGAATCCCCCTAAACACATCCTACCATCCTCGCTATTCAAGACAATTGCAATTAAGTTCGTTTTAAATTAAAGCAAATGAATGGGCCTGAAGGCTGTTGGGACTTGTCTGGAGGTAGCAAAAATATGGGACATAGGGGACACGAGGAGGTGACGAGGGAAGGAAGAAAAGCGGCTTAAAGTGTTAAATGAAAAGGGATTCTGGGAGGATGGGGTGATACCAAACACGTATGGTAAAGTAGGAAGCCTTGCTAGCTTCCAGCTCTAGCCAATCGTGAACCCTGAACACTAAAACCCTAAGCCCCAAACTATCAGAATTGAAGGTTCCCTGGCTGTGAAAGCTACACTTCGCCCCTTCGCCTCTCAGAAGAACTGCAGCAGCTCCTGCACTGTGTGGTTTCGGGTTTAGGGCTCAGGATTTAGGGTGTAGGGGTTAGGGTCTAGGGTTTGAGACTTACTTTTTGGTTACTACTTTTGGCTTTAGGGCTTAGGGTTTAGGCTGCCATCGTAGAATACCCTGACCGATGCTGCAGCACGAGTGCATGAATGATGCCTGGAAAATCCGCGAGCACATGTTGGGATAAAAACTTACCGGTGGTTAGTTAGTACTGGAACTTCGGAGAACCATCTTACTGGTGGTTAGTAGGGAGTAAGGGAATGTAGCGCCTATGTAATCCTCCTACAGTATATTCCATTATTGCCTGTTAACCCAGTAAGTCAGTGGGGATTATGTAGGGGCTACTATGGGGATCCATTACCCTTATCCCTGCTCATCACTGGTAAGGAAAAAAGGGGTTCTGGCGTCTGGCAAGTTTTCTACCACCACCCCCTAAAACCCTGAATCCTACATAACGTCCTAAATCCTAAACCCTAAACCCCAAAACCCTAAAACCTAAACCCCAAAACCCTAAGCTGCGGATCAACTTCCAGGAGCCTTGGAGCCTATTAGTTAAGGATTCTGTCTTCAAATCATCCGAAGAGTTGCTCCCAAGGGGCTTTCGGGTTTGGGGATTTAGGGTTTCGGGTCTGGGGAGCTAGGGTTTAGGGTCTGGGGATGTAGGGCCAGGGTGTTAGGCTGTTAGGGCTTAGGGTTTGGGGATTTTGCGCTCACGGTGGGTCAGTGTCGATGGGCAAACTTTGCACCAGCCAAGGTACCTAAAATCCCAGGAATCACTGCAACCAATGTCATCATGTCCTCCATCAACAGTCCTGCCTTCAGGGATTTCTGGGCGCCAGAAGAGTCAGACATCTTGACCCAACTTCTTTGAGCAACTGTGGAAGTTTCCCTAAATCTGAGAAATCCGGAGGCCTGAACACCGTAAGCTCGAACAAGCTTGAGGTACGAGATGCCATCAGGGTTCACTGGGTTGCTGTTATGGAACTTAATTTAAGTTACCAAATTGGGAAACCCTACTATTTACTATATATACCCATTATGGTTGCTTAATTCAAGTTCCCTAACAGTAACCCAGTTCAAGGTGTTCTGGGATAACTTCATCAAATCAAAGCCCACATCATGCATGGTGGACTCTCACTCCTTAAGTCTATAGGTCCCAGTTGTGGACCCGTTGGAAATTGGGCCTATAGGGCAAGACCGCCTGACCGACGAGTGCACCGCTTACTTACCAGGTGGGTACCCTATAGAATAACCACATACAACTCATGCAACCCCAGTATCTGTCTACCAGCATTTTATAACTGGAACTGTATAGGATCAACCCTAGACCCTATACAGGCACTCTTAAACCCTATACTAAACCCAACCCCTAAACGCTACACCCTACCCTCAACCCTGAAATGAAATACTCAATTTGTAGCCTCCAACCAGAATCCCTTAACTCATGGATCCACAGGCTAGGGGCAGCCTAAAACTCTAAAGCCCTTATAGGTAGGAAGACATGTGCCTAACAAGCCAAGTGCTCATGACTGTGGTCTACTTTCCGCTATTGTCCTCCTATTTTGGGTTGAAGTAGCCCAGTATTTTGGACAACTCGGCTTTTCGAGCACCGAAATGGCTCTTGCTCCTTAAGCCCTTGAAGCCCAATGCTTAGGCCCCTAAATCTCAAACCCTTAACCCGAGCTTCTTGAGACCTTAACTGAATCTGTCCTAAAAGCCTCCAAAAACTCGTCTTGCCTCCTTCTTCAGGAGTTTCGTAAGCATCAAAACAATTTTCAGGACATCCTAAACTCAAGCACTGAACCCCAAAACCTTAAATCCTAAACAGTAGTTTCCATTTTATTTCCCATTATCCCAATATCACCTTATATTCTATCTACTTAAGGGGGACTATAAGCTAATAGGAGTCCTTGGAGCCAGAGATGTAGTTCTTCAAGGAATTGATGATACGCTCGTTGCGCTTCTCTCCGCGGGGCTTCTGGACACCTCGCCTTGGGACACGGAGTATGGGCAATCTAGGAGGCGGCATCGGAGTTTAAGGTTTAGGATTTAGGTTTGGGTTTAAGGTTTAGGCTTGGGATGTAGAAGAGCAACGGAGGATTCCGGGCTTGGGGCTTCGTTGGGCGTCCTGTAAGTTTAGGCTTTGGAGGGTTTCCGGTTGGAATTTCAGCCTAACTCGGGATTTGGGATTAGGGCTTCAGGGTGTCAGTCCTGTGGGCTCAGGGTTTAGTTGTTTAAGGTTCGGGTTTAGGGTTTGGGCTCGGGGTTGGCGGTTTGAGGATTTTCGGCTGTGAGACGGGCTTGGGGGAGTTCAGGAATCGTGGTTTGGGGTTTAGTTTAGGGTTGGGGAGGAAAAAATAGGATCGGCCCAAACGCAACAACGAACGACCTTGGCAAATATCCTTTTAAGAGCTGAGCACCCTCAACATCTCAACGTCGCTCTTGTAATCCCTTATACAAGGATCCCGGTTGAACAATAGTGTAGCGTTTTCTGGCACATACTCATGTGTCTTCCTCCGCTACTGACCGCCCAAATGGCAGCCCACGAGTGAGAATGTGCTTGTTTCGGCATGAACTTGAATCTGCTGCGTTGGTCCTAAGGAACTTAAAAAATTGCCATTAACAGGACACCATACCATGTACGATGTTTCCCTATTATGGCAATCTCATTCAAGTTCCTTAACTCCCTATATCTCCCTATGCAGCACCAGTTGCCATTCATCTCCCATGTAAAGTTCAACCATGTATATATGTATATATATATAATCTAGATATATAGATATATATATATATATTATATTATATTATATAGATAGATAGATAGATAGATAGATATCCCCTCGGTAATCCTGGAGAACCCTAAGCCCTAAACCCGCATCCAAGTGCTGCTTCGTGGGCTGGATTGCTCAAAGTGCAAATCAGTGAGTAAGCAGCTTCTTCAAAGTCCTAAGCTAAGCAAGGAAACATCCCTTTGCAGTTTAGGGTAAAGGGTTTTGGGCGACATAGGGGTTTTCTGCAGAGATTGTGCGGCTACGCAGGGGTAATATGGGGATTTAAAATGAATCAAAATGACATGTGGGATCTCGGAATTCCAGAAATTAGGGTCCCCGTTGAAGAGCTTTCGGATAGGCATGGACTATAACATTTTGGGGTCTACCGTGTATTGGAGCCCCCAGTTATGTAAGATTCCCAGAAGATTACTGCCCAGCCATTTGCGGTTAGGAGCAACACTGGTTCTCATGGTTAGGAGCCCACTCAAAACAGTCACACAGTTTCGGGTATAGGTTAGGTGGACCCCCCACTCAGTAATAGTGACTATAGGGGATAATAGGGATTATATTAGGGTCCTCTGATATTCCGATTATGCCACTATTACAGGGCGGGGGGTCCTCCTAAGGTATAGGGTTCATTTTTAGGGTTCAGGGTTCAGGGCTCACTTTGGAATGCATGTGTGACTTGACAGAATTTCTGATCAAAAGGCTGGGCGATATGCCCCATGTCTTACAGCTGCCCAATCCTCCTTCCCTAACAATACACTCGATCAGGGGACGAGGACCATAGCCTGAACCCTCAACTCGCACTTTTGAACCCGAGTACCCCCAAATATCTGGTTCCCTAAAACCCAGCCCTTAAAGCCGAAAGCTCATGTAAGCTATAGTCTAAACTCCTAGTATCCCCCTTAATAAACTCCATAAAACTCCCCTATATCATCCCCCCTATAACCCCCTTTAAGGAGTTTAGACTATAGCTCATATCAAAGTCTACTCATCTCGCCGGCTCTTCATGAGGGAGTGGGGACGAAACTTGGGTTACCACCATGGACTCTTATCTAATAAGGGGATTTTGGTAACCCCAACCCCCCAAATTAGGACCCTATGACTATCATATCATGGTGATAGGGTCCTAATTTGGGGGTTTGGGGTTACCAAAACCGCCTTATTCTAATTCACCGGGAATGGATAGTTAGGCATTGATTTCTATGGCTCCACTGCCCCCGTCCCACATAGCTAATGTAGACCCCTGATTAATAACCACCTCCCCTTAATAGGGATTATAATAGGGATCCTAATATTAAGGCCCTTTAAAGGAGGGGGGTTTATTAATCATTGGTCTACATTGTACATTATTTTGGGGGTTCCACTCCTCCACTCACCCTTCAGTACCGGTGAGTCCCTTCTTGTCTCTAGTAACCTGGTAAACTTTGGTCCCGCAGGTCCAGCTGAAGGGTCATAGGATAGTTTTCGACAATCCAAGTCCCGTATGTAACCCTAAATCCCTAAAATCAAAACCCTTCAAACATTGAAACCCGCCTTTAGCTTCAAAGAAAGACTGGTGGGAACCCTTACGATCGCGGGAGTTCTGAAAACCTACAGCACCCTAATCCTCCACCCCTATATTAATATAGCGTCAGCATTCACCCCCGGCACCCCTCCCCCCCTCACGGTCCATGATATAGACTATGAGGGGAGGGGGGGGGGGGGTGGCGGAGAACGCAGAGCGCGGACGCATACATACAACCCTAGACCCTCCTCCTACCCTCTATTACACCCTACGTACCCACTGTTAGCTATAGTCTACACTCCTAGTATGCCTGTCAATAACCTCTATGAAACTCCCCTTTATAATCCCCTATAAAAACCCTCCTTGAAGCAGTTTAGACTATAGCTCATATATACTCCTGTATAGCCCCTTTTAAAAAGTTTTCCTCGCACTGGGTGACCCGGCTTGGTTGTTGGGAAAGGAACGTCGTCCTCCCACTGGTACTTGGCCTCGGAGTAAGACTCAAATTTCAAAAGTTCTGGAGTTTAGGCGTTTAGGGGGTTTAGGGTTTAGCGGTTTAGGGTTAAGGGGTTTAGGGGCTTAAGGCTTCGGGGTTCAGGGCTTAGGGGCTTAGGGCTAAGGGCTTTCAAAGCCTTATTGACGTCAATGAGCACCACAATAGTGGCTGAAGCATGGGCAGCCTGAGTGAACCAAGGTTTAGGGTTTAGGGTTTAAGGTTTAGGGTTTAGGGTTTAAGGTTCAGGGTTTAGGGTTTGAGGTTTAGGGTTTAAGATTTAGGGTTTGGGGTTAAGGGTTTGGCTGCCTTTTGGGGCTTGCACGTCCAAAGCGCTGCAGGTTGAATGCTGCCTGTTGGCATGTTTCCATACGGCAGCCCTGAACTCTAGAGCACTGCGCATAAAAGGAAACCTAGCCCCAGCTTTTATACAAAAAACCCAAACTGTAGCTTGGGGATCCAGTTGTGCAAGATTTGCTCCATCTACCTCCATTCAAAATCTTCGACCTGCACGAGTAGGACATCAGACAAGTTTCCTCAATCCGGTCTAGATGGAATTTGTACTTGGAGGTTAGTCAGAAGTGAATGCTCATGTTGTGAACTAAACAAGGATTTCAGACACCTGACGGCAAGTCTTCCTACCCACGCACCTTCAAACACAGGCCTGCAACAAAAGGCCATGCCGTTTCCCAGGGCAGAGGAGTGACCTTTCCTAACCCCTGGGCCCTATGCCGGAGAAGCTCCGCATATCCTAAGCTTGCTGCTGCTTGAGGAGAGTGGGAGTGAATGTCAAAGTCTTCTGGGGCTTGTCTGGTAATCCTAGGGACATGCCATAAGCCCTCAATTCAAACTCCTGCTCCTTGAGCATGTTGTGGGACCTGGATACATATTGTGTCCAGTCTAGGGCTTACAGCTGTTGAAGCCTCAACCACTACACCCTCAATCGAGTCCTGCCTCAAAGACAGCAAACACAAACCCGGAAGCCTCAAGCCTCGTCCCTTAGCCTTTCACCCTTACCATGAACCCTCTAAACCCTAAACTCTAAAACCCCTAAACCCTAAACACTTGAATCCCTCGACCTGAAACATAAAGCGTCTTCCATCCCAGACAAACCAAAAGCTATGGGATGATTCTAAGCGGAAGGCCCGGTATTCCTTATACTTAGGGTTTAGGATTTAGTGCTTAGGGTTAAGGGTTATGATTGGGTAGTTTCCATAAATAAGGGGGACCTCAATGTAGCCCCCCAAAAGCCCAAAACCCTAAAGCCATGGTTTTGGGTTACCCCCCCCCCCCCATTCAAGTCCTACGCCCAAAGCTCCAGCTGCGCACTCCAACTGTAAGCGTAAACGACGCCCTGAACACACCACAACCGCTGTACTGCTCTGAGGAAATGGGGAATTCCGAAAATCAAATAGGGCCCTTATGTTACCCCAATATATGATGATTGCTTTCCTATTAGGAGAAAGCACCCTCATTCTCCTCCTGAACACCCCAGAGATGGACCTGGATCATCAATCGCTGCCATCGCTGTGTGGCGGCGGCGGTCTTGTCATCCATGATGTCGTTGATGATGTTGGTGGCCTTGATAAAGCAGAAAGGGGTTTACTCCAGCACTGCCTCGGGAGAATGCGCAAGAAAATAGAAAGCACTATGTGTGGATGTATGTATAACTACGTGGCACTTAGGACCCCCCACTAAGGGTGAACCTTTAGGTACCTGCAATAGGAGTATAAGGGAATCCCAAGGGGTCAAGGGTCTAAGGTTCAAGCTAAGTCCCAAGGAGATGATATATATATATATATAGCATGATTTGGGGTTCGGGGGTTAAGGTTTGCTCCTTAGTGCTCATTAAAAATAGATTGGAGAACAGTTCTAGCCAGCCGTTATGAGAGATCATATCGGGACCGCTAAAGGGATCCATTCTCTGATTAAGGTACTTTAGAGTTTGAAGCTTGGGGCAGAGGTTTTGAGGTTTCAGCTTGGGATTAGGGTGTAAGGTTGAGGGCTAAATATTCGGGCATTAAGGCAGAGTTTGGGGTTTAAGATTGAACTGTCGGGGTTTAAAGCCCAAGAGAACCCTCTGCGTCATGTCGTTGGTTATGCTGATTGCCTGACAGAAGCCTCAAGAAGGTACGTAGCATTCTGCTCCATCAAAATAGAACTGTCCTCCTGCACGTTCTACTGCGCATTGGGGTCCCATGATCTCCATGAATACGTGGCAGTTTTGCGAAATATCTGTCCCCAAAGGGGGAAAACCACGTCAAGACTGAACAGGGGGACCCCAATATAGCAACCGAAGCACCCTTCTCCTTCTTCTAGAGACCCCTACCTTCCATGCTCTCTTCCATTATTCCCAATCTATCTGCTGTATAAACCTTCTTTTTGAAACTCCGGGATATGAAGCGTCGTACTGTGCAGCAATTTAGAGCAGTCCCCGGTGGCTGTGCTCGGTTGTCAGTTTAAACATCAACGAAACTAAGATCTTAGGGTTTAGGCGTTCAGGGCTTCGGTATTATGATAGATACGGGGATATACAAGGGCTATAGGGGCTTGTCTAGGGATGATAATAGGTAGTAACGGCATTTTGGTGGGCCTTCACCACAACATGTACAGCCTGAATCAGACAACAGCCAAGCCAAAGCCACTAAACCCTAAACCCTAAACCCCAAACCCTAAACCCTAAACCCCCAACCCTCCCTTGAAGCCCCAACTACCAAGCCTTCCACTTTCTCGAAACAGCCCTCACCGCCCTGCAGACGAAACCCACCACGTCACTAGGCGTCTCTCCCGTAATTTTCTGTGGGGGTTTAAGGGTTTAGGGTTTAGGAGTTAGCGTTTAGGGTTTGGGGTTTAGGGGTTAGGGTTTATAGGGTTTAGAAGTTAGGGTTTAGGGCCTAGGAGTAAGGTTTAGTGTTTAGGGCTCAGGAGTTAGGGTTTAGGGTGTAGGAGTTGGGGTTTTAGGGTGTAGGGCTAAAGTCTAATTAAGGGTTTACGGGGTAGCGTTTAGGGCTGAAATGTGTAGGGTGTAGCCTTTCTGGCACCTTCTCCTGTCAGAATCCATCTTCAGCGCATACTCCCCTGAGCGTAGCCTCCACTTTCAGCTGCCAAATCCTAGAAACCTGCCCTTCAGCCTAAGCCCTGAACACTAAAGCTTTCAAAAGCCCTTACACCCTAAATACTTCAACCCTCAACCCTCAAACCTAAACCCTGAACCCTAAACCCCATGAGGCAAGTTCCTCAATTTTACATCCCCACTCGGAGGGTCAAGGCGACTTAGTAAGTAGGTTAATAACCCCTAGAACCCATATAGTAACCCCAATTATCCCTATTATTCACCTAGTTACTAAGTCCCTCTGACCCTAAACCCTAAACCCTAAACCCTAAACCCTAATCCCTAAACCCTAATCCCTAAACCCTAATCCCTAAACCCTATAGTAGATTCCATTTTCTTTTGCATTATAAATCCCCCTGACCCTCCAAGTAGGGTTTAGGGTCAAGCATTCCTGCCCTAAACCCTGAACCCTAAACCCTAAACCCTCAACCCTCAACCCTGGGCTGCCAACATCGCGGAGGTCACCAATTCCGAAGTCCTCGACCAAGAAGGTCAGGTCTGCCTTGCTACAGTTCAATGTATGGCTTAGGGGTTTAGGGTTTAG